CGGCTGTACAGAGGGCTTATCGGCCCTTTGTGGCTGCACCGCGTTTGGTAATAGATTATCGTTGATGGCACACTCCCCATCCCTCCGTCCCGTTCGCGCGGAGCTCTTCTCGAAGCAAGATTTTAGCGGAATAATATCGGATAAAACCGGACGAGAGGCTGTCGCGCGGGATTACGCGAAAGATAATGGGATCGCGCGATAACTCCGCCAAGTGGAAATAATTTCTTTGTGTTAATGAAGAAGTTCACATTGCATTTAATTCTCTGTCGCTTAAGATAAAGCCCAGCGCAAAGATTATCGTAGGCTAAATTCAAAAATTGCACGTTAAATTTTTGTCTAAAAGACATAACGTCGATACAAGTCATACAACTTGTGTGCATCTCACAATTTGCCATAATTAATTTAAAATATTTAATTTGATACTATTCTCCAAATAGATGTCTCGATATCTCGAGATCTCCCTTGCCATTTTCGAACTTGAGGCGAGAAAATGAAATCAAAGTAGTTGAAAGGCCTGGAGCAAGAACAAGAATTCTAGGTCACCCCCTACGTAATATTATTCTATTCCTGAGAAGATTCCAATTAGCAAATATTATCCGCGACAGAAATTTTCAATTCTCTTTATCGAATTCAAAGATCGAGGTCTCCTCGCGTTTAACTGTGTTGACGGAATAGCGTCGAGAAATGAAGATGCAGAAAGTGACTAAATTCCATGATAGAAAATAGATCGCGATGTACGAACCCTCTCTCTTTCTCGTTTAAATTCCTCCCGCGTTATCATCCATGCGAATTTCCGCATACACGTCCGTCTGTGTGAGCGAAGAACATTTTTCGCGAAATCGAGAACACGGCAAAAGCGCGCGATAAATTGAGAGACGCCGCGATGCGTTTACAACGCATTAAGTTTGATACTACGCGTTTGTCACACAGCAAGTTTGATATACGGGGTTGAAGGGGGAGATAATAAAATTTCTTGTAAAATATTCCGCGACAAAATCTCGCGAAGAATCCTCTCTCAGACGGTCCTCGTAACTACCGCGCGCTCATCAAGATAGTCTTACGACGCGTGTAATGTAACACGGAGCCTCCCCGAATCCGAATCGTTCGACGCAGCGCGAGCGGTCGCGACGCGGGAGCCACCCCCGCGCGAGCTCGCGGGTATCGAGATTCCGGCCGCGCGCGCCCCACCCCAGGGAAAGAACCCGGAATTCCATCGTCGTCGCGCTGCGCCGGGTATCCGCGGCGCGCGCGTGTATCAGGCGCATCAGGAATTTGGAAAGCGAGGGACGAAAGATGTCTGTCTCTCTCCCTCTCTCTCTCTCCCTCTCTCGTCTCTCCACGCTACTCGCGTTGGCGTGGGTCAGTAGACAAGTGACGCCCGGGGGAAGAGACAGGAGGGGATGGAAAGGCCGGCGGGATATTCGATATTCCGGTGGCATGGATCGCGGAACGCGCGGGGAGGGATGGCCCTTCGGTGCCACCCTAACGTGGCACGTGGGGCGCTACCAGGTGTTGCCTAGACATCGGGTCGATGCCGAACGCAGGCGCATGTGCGACCGTTCCCCTCGTCCTCCCTTTCCTTCCTCCATCACCCTCTTCATCCCTCTTGTCTTTGGTATTTCTCTTCTCTCTTTTACCGTGCTCTCTACGTGTCGCTCTTTCGCCCTGTCTCGCTTCTCTCTACCTTCCTGCGCTCGTGCCGCGCACACCACCCTCGTTTCTCCTCGTTTTTGCACGAGGGGAGATACACCCCTGCCGTAGTATCGCGCCCCGACGTGTGCGCCACCCTTGCACCACCACCACTACCATCACAGTCGGCGACAACAAGTAGACGACGTATATCGCATCGTCACTATGCAGCCAATCTTCTGTAGGAATTACCGTCGGGGTCCTTTCTCTCCCTCTCTCTTTCTCTTGAAACAGGGAGAGGAAAAGAGTTCTTATACGCTCGTCGTAACGCCAGGAACGAGGCTCGGGAACGTAGCACCCCGACCAGCTGCTGTTCCCCCTTCGATTTTTGCGGGAGCCTCGGGATGTGTTTATGTGCGTGTGCATGCGCGTGTACACGCGGCGCTGCCGGAAGCGATACGGTGCGATAAACAGCGGCGGAGAGTTTGCGAGGAAGAGATTTACAGATAGCTTAGTGTGCGTTACGTAGCGTAAAAGGTCGATGACCGGGGATCGAGAGTCTTTGCTGCTGGTCGATCAGAAATCCCGTCTCGACTAACTCCCCGGGAAAGCACGTGTCGCCGTTGACGTAAACGCACTTCCATTCGTATTTGGGATACCAATTCTTGTTCACAATTATAGGAAACTAGAGCAAATGCAAAAAAATGTAGAGAAAGTTACGAAATAAGAAGAGAATATTACCGATTCTCTGAGAAAAATTGTAATAATGTAGTTTGTAAATTTGAAAAAACTTAGTTTTCTTTAATTTGTATTAGATAATTATTAAAAATATAAAAAATTTAGATATTATTAACGAGCAAATTAATTCGAAAAATGTAATAATTAAAATTGCAAGAATAGTTCACAGCTCTTATTGCGAATAAATGCAAACGTAGTGAATACGAGGTATTACAGCACAGCTTCCTCGCTTTACATTTTTCCAATCTCCTTTTTAAATCAGGCTACGCGACCCAGTCTACGTAGCAAGCTTTTAAAAAAAAAAAAAAAATACGTTGTATAACATAAATTCAACTTTACGCAAAGCACGGGTGAACGTAGTATGAATACAAAATCATCGTTTATAAGGGCAAAACGAAATATTGCGGTTACAATACACTGCTTACAATATATTGCTATTTTCAAAAAATAAAATTTATGTTTGTGTATGTATTTCTCTAATTTAAATAAACTTTAATTTTTTGTGGTTTACCAATAATCTTACATATACAATCCTACCTCTTGCTAATAAATTAGCCAATTATTAATCGCTCTTTTTTTATTGTTGGTAAAAGTATCGAGGAAATTTTTTATAGCAACTTTCTTGCAAAATTTAGTTTAAAATTCTATTCAAGTAAATTCTACCTAATAAATGCAATTTTATTGTATATTTAGATAAATATTTCCCTTACAAATTTTATGTGCGAATTTTAAATCAGGCTACGCGACCCAGTCTACGTAGCAAGCTTTTAAAAAAAAAAAAAAATACGTTGTATAACATAAATTCAACTTTACGCAAAGCACGGGTGAACGTAGTATGAATACAAAATCATCGTTTATAAGGGCAAAACGAAATATTGCGGTTACAATACACTGCTTACAATATATTGCTATTTTCAAAAAATAAAATTTATGTTTGTGTATGTATTTCTCTAATTTAAATAAACTTTAATTTTTTGTGGTTTACCAATAATCTTACATATACAATCCTACCTCTTGCTAATAAATTAGCCAATTATTAATCGCTCTTTTTTTATTGTTGGTAAAAGTATCGAGGAAATTTTTTATAGCAACTTTCTTGCAAAATTTAGTTTAAAATTCTATTCAAGTAAATTCTACCTAATAAATGCAATTTTATTGTATATTTAGATAAATATTTCCCTTACAAATTTTATGTGCGAAAAGTTTTTCACTTTCTTAATCGCTTATATCTCGAAAATTATTTTGGTGGCTTCATTTTTATTAGTAAACTATTCATCTCTAATTAAAAAGATTATTTAATTACATATAACAGAGGTCACTTTTTATAATACAGACGTTTCTTTTCTCCAAAAGATTTTCTCGTCTCTTATAAAAATACAACGATTAACGGCTGCGATACTGCGCAAACAATTCGCGCCCTACGCCATTGACATCGTCAACACATCGCTCGCCCTCGTGCCACGCTCGCGTGTCACGCATGCACGACCACAACGAGCGACCTGCAGGAATCGAGAACCGACATCAGCACTCTCGAGGGGTAGCTGTGCAACCCCTCGCACAGACAGACCATCACCATCACTATCAGCAGCAGCAGCAGTAGCAGCAACAGCAGCGCCACCCTTCAATTCTCCATCCGTAGGGGAGCCGCAACGGAGGGACGCCGGGGGTGCTGCTGACTGGTCGAGTCCGCAGCGGAGCGACGAGAACAACCCCGTATGCGCGACGGAGATGGTGATTGTCGCGGAGAAGGGGTAAGGGGTCGGGAGGACGGTAACGCGGAGCGGCAGCGCCACCGACTTAAACAGTCGCACCCCGTCGTCGCCGTCGTATTCGAGGCCACCCCCTGTCACTGGCGAGAGCCGCGACAGGGAGCGACCGAAAGAGTAACGGACGGGCGGACGGACGGACGGACGGACGGACAAACGGACGAACGGTCTCGAGTCAGTCAGTCAGTCAGTCGGTCCTCTCGGCAAAGTCTCGGGGCGCAGAGGAAAGCCACCCCTAGACTCACGCACACGCACACATACACACACACACACACAGTCACGCGAACGTATATATACACAGGCGCGCGCGCGCGCGTGCACACACACACACACACACACAGACACATTTACTCGTATACAGACCGCAAACCGCGGAAGGAACGGTCCAGGTAGGAGTATCTTGACGATCAACCCCTCGAGCGGACAAAGAAAATCAAATTCAAGCATAGCTCGCAAGAAACGCAGGCCGCGCGTCGGTGGCTGGCATGGTGGCGGTGGTGGTGCATCCGTTTAAGGAGCCGCCCTTGCCGCGCCGATGACGAGACTGCAGGTCCCACACCAGCGCGTACCACGTAGGACGAAGGCGAAGCCGGCCAGCGAACGGCCACCTAGTCGAGGTGTTTCCAACGTCCACCGGTTTGACGACGGGCCGCAGACACAGACGACCGGCCCGGGCGACGGACGGGCGCGACGTAGACGTCGACGTCGCGGTAACGTCGGCCACCACGGCAACGTCCGCGGAAGAGGCGGGGCAGCCAGCAGACGCGACGGCGACGGAGAACGCGCCGTAGCCGCGGTTATCGTCGATCGCGACGACATCGGTGGTGCTGCGGTTGGTGCTGCGGTTGTTGGTGTTGAACGTGTCGGTGTCGGTGGTGTCTCGCGTAGGTGTACCGTTCCATCGGGCTTGTCCGAGTCGTTGTCCCTGGTGATCGGACGACGACGGCCATTGCCATCGCCGGTTCCTGGTGCCATCGTCGGTCGACGCGATCCGCGTCACCATTATGCCACGCTGTCTCATGGCGAAAAAGTGGAAGTGGAATCAGTGGCAGGCCCGCGTGGACGATCAGGCGAACGAGCAGAAGGACGCGACGCCATCCGGGGCCGCGAGCCCGCAGGAGCAGCAGGCGCAACATCATCTGCTGCATCAGACCGCGGATGCTATGGAGAAGCGGTCGCACAGCCGGCATGAGCCGATCGAGGACGAGGAAATCGACGTGGTCGGAGACGTCGATAACCATCAGGTCGATCATCAGCAGACCTGTTGGGGGCCGCACAGTCCCACGGCGGGGGCTACGGCCCCCAGTCCGCCGCCCCTCAACGCTTCCGGCGCTCTGTACTATCACGGTGAGTAAGTTCTCCTCTGAGGGTCTCCTCAATGCGGCAGCATAACGCGGTCACGCCAAATGCCCGCTTTTACATGATGTAACGCGAGTGTAGGTTAGACGCGCCACGCCCAAGACCCAGGATTTTTCTTGTTTGATTCGCGCAAGAAAAGAATTTCTCAGTTATCGTTCTTTTCTTTTCCTTTTTTCTTTCTCTCTTTTTGTTTTGTAAAGGCTTCTCGCTAGCTTCGGCATCCGGTGCAGTCTGGCCATGCGTCAAGCACGCAGGGTGACACACCCGCCTATTACAGACGCTGGCGTGCGCTATAGACAGATAATGCGGTAGTTGCTTAAACGCGCCATATTATACGAGCGTCGAAATGCGGAGAGATAAGTTTGTCAACGACCGCAGCAAAACGAGCGTTTCCACGTTTTCCCGTGGAAAACCGTTCGCGAAATCGCCCATGTGTTCGCATATGTATATACGTATGTACGTACATGGCGACACACCCGTCTGTAGATCGTCGATCACGTCGACGATCACGTTTGGCACCCTTACGTTGAGTCATGATCCCGATATGTCATTGTAAGCTATTGTAGTCAAGGGCTATTTCGTCCATCGCATTTATTGAGCTCTCAATCAGACATGGAGGAAACTGACTGCGTTTTGACGTCGTTGTTTGTTGTGTAACCGCAGTTATCCAGAACAGTTATCTAGTCAAATTGCTTTTATGACGTGGATGAATACGCCTACGATATCGGATTATGTCAAGTGAACTGTTTATTGAATATTCACGGGCGGTGAAACCTGTTTTATTATTATAAAATATTTACTTTGTATATAATAACTTCGTACAAATTTTACACGAATTATATAATCGTATTACGTAAGCAAAAACAAATTCTGAATTTTAATTTGTTACCAATTTTTTAAAAGTTGTTTTCAACACAACGAGAATTTTTTTAAATAAAAGTAATAAAATGAAAAGGTTTGAATTTTTATTTGCCAATTTAAATTTTTTATTTGGGATCTGTATTACATCTATATTAATGTATTATCACACTTTAAAGAATAAACAGAATATTTTTCCATTAATTGAAAAATGTTATCATTCTTTAACAGTAAATATTATTAGATAGAATTATTAAACATATTTAAATATTTTTTATATATTTATAAAATGTGAGGCTCTTGCATGAAATTACTCCATGAAAATTGAGCGTATTGAAATTTTGCGTGCATGTGAATAAATCGCCGATGCTTTAATCGTTCATAGGTATTCTTGTAAGCCAAAAGTATACAAAGTAACAACTTTCTTTTATCTCATTTATGCTGCTTATAGGCAGTAGATTGCGCACGTGTTCACACAATGGTGCAAATGACGTTATGTAACAAGTGTTCTCTTTTTATCGCTACGCCACGATTTAACTACAATCGTTCTGCCAATTAACTTTTGCAAATTAAAATTTAAGATTTGACTATGTAATATTCTTTAAAACAAATAAAATAATATGTTATAATTTGTTATTTCAATAAATATCTAAAGATAATTGTTTTTATAATTAACATTATATAATTTTATAATTGACGAAAGCTTTCTAATCTGTAAAGAATATTTTATGTAACAAAGATCTCTCTCTCTCTCTAGGTTCACGCAACAGAAAGTTCTGTGCATGATTCATTGTGTGAATTCTTATTTAGATCTACTTTTATCATACATATACTAAACAAACACACTATACAACAGAATTATAAGAAGGAAAAGCAAGTCGTACGAAAGTTTATCTATCATCACGGAGATTAAATTTTCAACAGGATTACAGTCACGTAAGAAAAATATAAGAATGTACGTTCTCTAACAGGTTTCTTTGTCCTTGACTTTCTTGTTGTACGATTAACGATTGGTTTTTACTCACTTGATAAGGTAATATATATATACATGATAAGGTCCCGCCATTTCTCTGATCATCCATGAGATAAACTATATGAGGGCAGGTAATGATATTTCTTACAGCAAAAAATATCTCGGAAGAAAAATTACTACATTAATTCTTAAATAACTCTTTTATTATGAAAAATGTAAATCTAATAAAAAAATTCTTAGCTCATCTCAATTTTATCGATAAAATGTAATTAATTTAAAATTTTATTGTAGCTGAGATTTTATATTTTTATATTTTTATGTTTTATGTTCATTTAGATATCAAAATATGATACATATTTATGATCAATATTTTATTTTGCGATTTACTATCGCAAATAATTTGACGACACAAAAATATAAATTTTTATTTGATTATAAATGATTTGATAGATCAAGTATAATTTATACTTGCTGTTTGTTTTGCGCTCACAGGGTCGATAAAGATCAGAGGCGATAAATCTACAGGAATGTGCGGAATGTTCATTCAAGGTATATAAATATGCTTTATGGGCTATATCTGTGATCTGTGATAGATGACGTAGATATAGAGAATCCACCTAGAATTCATAGATAATTCATGTCACTTTACACCGCTCTATTTAATGATTTTATTATTTCCTAAGTGTAAGTTAAAAATCAGATAAAGACAGTAATTACATCACATCAATCGATAAAAATGTGATTTAACCAGATACTTTGAATAAAACTATACTTTCTTCGCTATAATAAAAGCAAATTTTTCTCACTTTTATTACCAATATAACATCACGAAAATAGTAAATCTCTATCTATACAGTTCTTCGTATATGAACTTCTCATTAATCGAGAGAAACCATAAACAGGTTGAAACAGGTATCATCTAAATCAAATTATATCGCATCGATAAGTAAATACAACGATACGATAATAAAGTATAAGAACGAAACCTTACAAGTCACATTTCCTTTCTTCTCTTTGTTATGTCTTTCATAGAGACTATCTCTTTTATATCCACTTATGCATTCTGCGATAAATTGCGTACGGTCAATGACTGCCACAACGACAAAATATGTAAATTAATTAATAAATAACAACAATATGATTCATTAAGTTTTACGGTCTTTTTAAAATCGCATCCGCGTTTCCACTATTCTACAATCCTCGATAGAGAAGGGACAAAACAAAGGAAGAAACTCGACGTTAACGTTAATCGCAACGGAGATTTTTATCGGTCTTTAAAAGAGCCTAGAATCAACGGACTCGTGGGAGCGCGTGGGAGCGTTCATTCGCTGTTATTGATTCCCCCCTCCGCCCTATACGACCCTCTTGCAACCCCTCCACCCTTCTCGCTCCACAACTGCTGCGCTCCTTTTGCCGTTGATGAAATGCACTTGCAGACATGGCCGTTCTCTTTTACCTCTGTGTTGACTTCCCTTTATTTTAGCCAATAATAGATACGCGCCAGCTGATCGATCGCACGCGAGCAGCACACTTTTCTGATTTATTCGCTTTCCAGTTTTCCGCCATCCCCTGGGACCCTCGTCTATTTAGGGGAAAAGTAGCGTCGGTTGGAATAGGATGTTCGGTAAGAAACGCGTTTGACGCACGTGACGGTACGCCTTGTCGAAAACTTAAGCAATTTATCCTTGAAAAAAGTCAGGACACGAATCAGTTTTCCAAACCTGACTGATTCAAAACAAAAGTATTTTTGTCAATTACGTCCCAGCTATAATAATCTTGCTTCCCAGCGAATTTTTAATAGATTTGAATTTAAAGAGAAAAAAAGCATAGTTGCTAAGATATTTACCTGATATTACATCTTCAGATGCGAAAAGATATGACGTCGAATTAAATCTTAATTAAAAAAATTTGTATTGGCTTTCAACAAAAAAATATTGTTTTGTTTATCATAAATATTATCGAACATTATATTAATAAAATTAACTAATTGATCTAAAAATAATAATTGATTATTTCTGAAAAGCCCATATAAATTTTTTTTTCAATAATAAAAAAAAACTTTCACAAGTCTTGATTATTAAATATTTGGTTTGGTAAAAAACTGTTGTTTATTACCATTCCCACTTTTATCCTCATAATACAGATATAGTTAGAGAAGTGGACAAATCGAATATATATATCCTTAGCTACTAATATATATTTTCAAAAGTAATATTCTCTTCTGCAAAAAAAAAAAAGAAAGAAAGAAAATAAAAAAAAATAAAAAAATAAAAATAAAAAAAAAATAAAAAAAGGTATTTTGCGTTATTGACAGAAAAATTGACTCACGTTCTTTTCGCAATAACGAATAATTCGATCCGAATTGTCGAGACGTTTAAATTAGAGATAGAAACGCTCGTTAATTACTCCTTACATAATATAGTGTGTTCGCTGCTTACGGCATAGACTTTCGCGTTACGTAACCAGCTGAACGGTACGCGTATCGATTTCACGGCGAAAGTCGTCCGTTGCGTGCCTTGTCTACATTGTCGGGAGCAATAAAAGAAACACAAACGAGGTTTAGACGGCATCAATAACTAATAACGAGGTAACATTCGAATTGCGAGTAGCAATGGTTTAAAGTCATGCGACAGACGCGAGTCTATCCAAAATTGTTTTCGAGATTTACAAATCTCAGATATATACGAGCCTCATATCGTTATCCTAAATTTATGCAGATAATAGCCACAATAATTTTGCATTTTTATGTTATATCATTTACCTATTTTTGCTTTGTAACGTTGTTATTAAAAGTTAATACAAAAATACACGAACTGCGATTCGATATTTTACTGCACACACACAAGTTTTTATTATGTCAAATATTTATTAAATTCTGGCGAGTGTCATCCAATCGTATCATAATATCAAATCATTAAAATTTCAATCAATCCATAATATAACATGATAATTTGTATTATTGAATTAAAATTATCCAGGAATAATTATCTAAAATAAAATCGTGTGTACAAGAAACTATTAAAATATTATCCAATTTCTTATAATATTGCCACTTAAATAAATCTACTCTTCGCGCAAAAAAACTTCAGACATCCAGAGTGCAATAGTTTGGCAAGCTGGTATTTTAATTGAAATAGAGTTTAATAATATATGTTTTTCTCTCTTTCTCTCTTTTTTACGTATATAATGGCGCTGGAAATGAGAGCGCTCAGAAAGATACGCTGTTATATATACGAGGTGCTGTTTGTGCACACATTTCGCATGAATCTTTCGCGGTCCTTCCCAGCAACAGCAGCGGCGCGAATTTCGCTCTTCGTCCCCTTTTCCCTCCCCCGGAACCGCCCCTGTGCAACAGCGGCGCGCAACAGATACAACATCGCGTTATTATACACCCCCGCGTTCACGTGCCGCGCCGCCACCAAACGCTACCTCCCGCTGCACACAACCGACTTTTTTTCCTCCATCCCCCTTTATACCCGTTAATGACCGTATACGGTGGAAACAGCTGGCGCACAGGAAATGAAACGCCACGCAACTCGTGAGTGATTCACGAATTCAAATATTCATACCGCCGAGAGACGAATGAGATGTTATACCGTGCGTGCACACGCCGCGCCTTCGCTACCCTTCCGTCGTTGTATTACGAGGGGGTGTTTTTCATTTGAAAAGAAACTCTCGAGTAATTATTATAAATTAAATAGCAGTCATTATATCCGTTTCCATTAGGACATTTCGATACATCTTTTAATATTTAATGTCACGTGCTTGACCGGTCTATATCTTATCCTCGTAAATGCGATCTATATGTTGAGAACGAATAGAACTTTAGATATCTCACCAATAAATTGCGTAATAACAGATATATATGTAGTAGACGAAACAATAAATAAAAATATGTTCCCCAAGATTATATTGATGATTTAGTAAACTTAGTAAAACCAGAGCAGCACAATAACAAAAATTGCCTAATTTATTCATTGCGAGAGACATAAAATAAAATGACCAAACATAAACAGAACCCTTTTACGATTCCGACTGTATCTCGTACGAGCAGTAGAGTAATAACTTTCGCCTTTAAACAAATGGAAGATAAGACCCCTCAAGAGCACAACCTAATCAAATAAAGCTACAACCGCCTATCTCTGTGAATTAATCTACTCGTTACCCATTTCTAGGCTACACGCACGAGGCATGGATCAACCACGAGGAGCCGCCCAAGTACGCGACGCTGCGCTCAGCGGCGGAATTGGCGCGTCCGGTAGCTCCGTCGCCGCCACCCCCGGCTGCGCAGCAGGAGCTACCGGTTCCGGTACTGACCGGGTCGAGTTTGCATCAAGCGCCGTCGCATCAAACCACGACAAATCCATCGTCATCGTCGTCGTCGTCTGTCGCGCCCCTGTGCCTGCCACCGCGCAAGAGCCTCTCGATGTCCTTCACCAGCACCGGCACGGCGTTATCCTTACCGCCCAAGAAGAAGGACATCTACCGTCCTTACAGCCTGCAACCGATCTCGGAGATACGCACGTCCGCCGAGGAGGACCTGTCGGCCGCGCAGGCCATCCTGGATCTCAGCGCGTCGCCCGCCGCGCCCACGCACTCCGTTTTTATTCACACCCTGTCACCTCCGCCTCCACCGCCGCCGCCGCCGCCGCCGCCGCTGCCGCCGCCGCCCGCGGCCGCAAACGTCGTCGCCCCGAACGCGACCGCGACTGTGCAGCAGCAGCAGCAGCAACAGCAGCAACAGCAGCAGCAGCAGCAGCAACAGTTGCAACCGGCACCGACGGCGGGCACGCAACAACCTATACCGGTCTCTGTGCTGGTGCCGGTGCCAAGTTCGCAGACCAACCAGCTGCGCCAACAGGAGCAAACGCCGCCGCAGCCGCAGTCGCCAGCAACCGCGGAGGCCACTGGCGGAACCTGCAACGTCGGCAGGGATAGGTGAGTCTAGCGCTTGGATCTTCATTCGAGTTTTTCACGTTAAAGTTTTCGAATCCGAATTGTCACGTAATATCTGTCCAACAGCACCACCAGCGGCAACAAGACTGTCGCCTACACCTACGAGGCCTTCTTCGTGTCCGATGGCCGGTCGAAACGTCGCGGCGGCGGCGGCGGCGCCAGCAGCGGCGGTAGCAACGGCGCCGCCGTGCCCGACAAGGAGGCGGCCCAGCCGGACAGGCCCAAGTTCACGTGCACCGAGTGCGGCAAGCAGTACGCCACGTCGTCGAACCTGTCGCGGCACAAGCAGACGCATCGCAGCCTCGACTCGCAGTCGGCCAAGAAGTGCATCCACTGCGGCAAGGCTTATGTCAGCATGCCCGCCCTGGCGATGCACGTGCTCACGCACAAGCTCGCCCACAGCTGCGGCGTATGCGGCAAGATGTTCTCGCGGCCCTGGCTGCTGCAGGGTCATCTGCGCAGCCACACCGGCGAGAAGCCGTACGGATGCGCCCACTGCGGCAAGGCTTTCGCCGACCGCTCGAATCTGCGGGCGCACATGCAGACCCACTCGGCCGATAAAAACTACGAGTGCTCGAGGTGCCACAAGACCTTCGCTCTCAAGTCCTATCTAAACAAGCATCTGGAATCGGCGTGCCTGCGCGACGAGGAGATGCAGCAACAGCAGCATGCCGGTAACAGTGCCACGCAGAACACCAATCGAGGCTTGTAGCAGCGCTTCGAGAAGGGGAACAACGACGCCACGAGGAGCGAGGAATCGAGAAAAAGCTAGCGGTGCCCCGTGATCGCCGCTTGATCGCGAAGAGGCACGAGGATACGAAGAGCAAGGGAGGAGATATAAGGTTTGCCGTAGATTTTAAGTAGAAAAGTGCCAGTAGAGACAGAATTGAGAGTTAGAAAGAAAGAGAGAGAGAGAGAGAGAAAGCAAAGATGGAAAAGAAAGGATGATGTGAGTAGAGAGTTAGATTGGAACGAAAGGGAGCAAGAGAGAGGGAGAGCGTGAGTTTATTAATAATGTCTAACATTAATAAAAACGTCCAGTAATGTTAAGTCGTAAAAGAAAAAAAAAACACGTCGAACGATGACGTCCACACTGCAGAGTCTAGTCACTCTAGTCGATTATATACCTATTACATTATGATATTATATTATTATATATATATTATAGTATATATATATATATATATTTACTAGCGCGTACGATAGTCCGCGAACTCGTTACGAAGACATTATTTATTAATACTTAGCTGCCTAAATTTAAAAAAAAAAAAAGGAAAACGGAGAATAAGCCGAAAGAGATTTACAGGATCCGTGAATCGCGATTCGCGCGCCCGTCGAATCTGGATCGCGACGCATCCTCGATCTTTCTCACGCGCTTCGCGATCAATGATCGAGGCTGCCGGATCGCCGTAACACCGAGACGCGCAGGTGCGATCGACGACTTGCTCGTAGCAGTAATTCGCTGATTTTCATTCGGCAAAGAGAGAGAAAGAGCCTTCTCGAAATATTACCGCGTATATTTCCGGTGGTACAAAAATCACCCCAGATCCATTAAAAATTAACCCCCGTCTCTGCTGCTGTCAGTATCTTCAAGTAGTGCATTTTTAAACAGCTGTTATTTGAAGTCGACGAGCATTTTCACAAGAGTATTAACTATACTATTTAAATAATTATAATATAATTAATATGACGCGATGTTAAAATTATGGTTGTTTGAAGTTACTCGAAGCTACTGTAGAAGTAGAGAAAGGATTAATCGGGTCGTTCAGTGGATGCGCTCCTTTAAAAATTTCCTCAAGTTTAATCCATTGGATAGAACGACGAAAGCTACGGCTAATCGATAAGCACAATAACCGCACAGCGATTGCACCCGGTCGGAGTTACGACACGTCGCCTTCAACTGACGCGTGAAGATAAAAGCCGGACACAAAGTGTCTTTAGAGATTCTAAGGGTACGCATTAAACTGAAAACTTTATGCTTCGTAACATACCCTTTTTGTATCTTTTTTTTTTTTATATGGAGAGTTAAAGTCGCGTCCACACCTGCGTATCTCGCACGATTATGCGATTTATCGACGCGCGCGTTCCACGAAGCGAAGAGCGACTATCGCGAGATATCGGCGACGGAAAATCGTGCGTGGCTGAAGCGGGATTATAATAGCGGAAAATACGCGATGTGTCTTGCGATCGACTGATCGCTGACGCGAATACGCGTAGGTACGGTATCGCATTATAAAACGGATCCTCACAACGTACACACGTACTTAGAGCAAATTCGAGTAATAGACGCGTGTAACACATTGTTATACAACACATATTTTATAGAGGCAATATAAGAAAAAAATAAATAAATAAATAAATATGACGCGACAAGTACGGTCAAAGCAATGTTTCGACACAACGAATTATATAATTATACATATAGAGGCAAACACATCGAAGTTTAACCAAGTTTCGAGCAAGAACCGATGATATGCTTATATGCATGATGGAGAACGATCGCCCGATCCACACCCCCTCACCTCTGGAGTATTTTTTGTATTAATCGATTTTGATAGTGAAAATCTTGGAGTCTAATCGGCATTTTATTAAAATAGCAACGTTCGTTTTACGACGTTTATAAGATTATTATTTTTCAAGTCGATAGAGAGTTTCTGAAAAACTATATTTTATTATAATATCTTCTATTATACATATTTAGTTTTATTATATTTATGTAGATTCCAACATTCCTGCATTCGCGTTGCACATAATAATATGAATTTCTTTTAATGACATTAAATCACAATATTCAGATAAAATTAATTAATTCCACGCGATGCATTCTGCGTAAATTGTGTCGCACTCAATATTTAATCACAAAAAAACCTTTAATCACGTCTGCTGATGAATATATAATACATTAGATGCAGATCAATGTATCGAGTTGTGTGATCAGAATAAATTTGTTTGCTTCATAATTAGATCAACTATATAAATCGTGTAAAATAATAATTACTAATTTCTCAATTTTCTACATTTTAAAGTAAAATTGATAGCGAATTGCGGCATATTTAATACACGAATATAAAATAATTTTTGTCCAATGAGAGAAAGAACGTGATATAAACGTACGATCGGCGGGGTGTGGATCCGCGCTTTAAAATCGCAGCCGCAGCTCTCTAAAAGAAATAATAACTAAACAATAAAACAATTATAACGGCCGACGAGCATGCGGGCGATCCGCCCGATTCTTTTTTCTTTTCTTTGCATCGATTATATTGCGAAAAAGCGCGATAACGTATTTCGCATGTACAGTAGAGAGAATCTCGCCGCCAAAGAAAGTCGCAAGGAGAACAGAATGAACAATATTTTTCGCGTAGCTCGTTCTCGATTGGATCGATTCTTAGGATCGGCCAGCAATGCTTGACGCGCAACGGAGCTTTGTCCGATTATTTTTTTCCTTCATTTATTTCTATCTCGCTCGGCACTAGCCATTGATTAATACGCCCCACGCTGCTAATAATGCGTATATACATATAAATAATATGCGGCTCTAGAGCAATAAACGATTAAGCAATAATATTCGCGTAGCGCACACAACGAAAATCCGCAATATTGCGCGCCAATCGCGCGCTTGACTCATATGTATATCTCGTATAACGTCCTTTCGTTGTTTCATTTGTACCTTCTTGCAGCGTTTCGTCATTATTTACCATTCGTTTATATCGTACTCTTCACTCTGCGCTTTTATTTTATTATATATCGAAAGTGTCGTTACTTTTTCAATATAGTCACTATATTATTCCTAGTCGATGCAAGCGTAATTATTTATATTTATTATTGACGGGTTATGTCAAGATATTGAAATGTGTGAGAATGTAATATACATAAAAAATATACACAATTCCCAGAGATGTGCAAAAAGTTACCAGTTTTTAAGTATTTTGCATTATCTCAGATTTGTGAGCCATTTTGTTGTAATGCTCTTACATCACATACATATAATATCTTGACAAGCTGTCATATATTACTGATATTAATATTACCACATTATTACTATTATTATTTTATTATTATCTTATTATTATTTATTATTATTTATTATATTAGCATTATTATTATTATTATTATTATGCTAGTACAACGATTCGATACAACGATCGATATCCATATGTTACAAGCATAAAAAGCTAAAACATGTGCAATTTCCATTCTGATTTGTAAGTGGAAAACGCCAGCATTCCGTGCGATAAGCTACTTTACTTAAGGTAGTATTTCGCGTGTATAGTTGCTAGTCAATACTTTTAAACTTCCGAATTGTGGTAATATATATATATTATGCATTATAATAAAATGTACATTTAAATAAAACGTAACGATAACGTATTAGCAGTCCACGTACTAATTAATCTAATCGCCTGATATCGTCTTTAATAATTAGGGCATCGTTACGAAGTAATAGCTGGGCGAGGAATAAAATGAATGGAAAGCTCTTCCCGCGATCGAAACTTGAAAATTCTCCCCTTTCGTATTTTCCGCTTCGATCTTGGAAACTCGGCTTCTAAGGAAAGCCCTCTCACGTGGCGTGCTCGACAACAAGTCGAGGTCAGAATCAACGTCGAAATGCACACTCTACGTGACACACGATAAACAGCTTCTACTAACAAGACTATGAGGTGCGTGTGAGCGGGTACTTTTGCGCGATTAACGCGGTCAACGGGGATTCTTCTACGCATGTACGCATATTATGCATGCAAACGTATACGCGTAATGACGCAGCATACATACACGTACACGCACACACACACATATATATATATACATACACAATAATCCTCTCTCCACAAAGACTATACTAAAAGTTCTTCTACCCTACTATTTTGGGTGTTCTATCTTGCTCCTCCGTGGTTTTAAGGTCAGATTGGAAAAATTTCGGTTGTATCGTACACTCTAATCAACAAGTTCACCGTGAAAATGGCCGTTCGTTCACTTTGGCACGTCTCGATCTGCGGGTCCCGATGTATTTAATTACGCGTGTCTCTGAATCCGACGATGGAAATCGTTGTATTTTTTATCAAACTGATATCAAACCGCCGTTTAATTTTACCGTATAATATGAATTAAAGCGAATCTGGCCACCGGCCTGTAAAACTCAACGTTGTTTTTAATTCACTTCCACATGGGACGAATTCGCGCCCGTGTCATTTTATTTTAATCTACCTTTGATTTAACTTTAATTTAGCCCGCACATACAGGTCGACCGTCATTTCGCTCCAATTTATCTTTGATTTAATTGCAATATCCGACCGCGCCGCGCACGCTTGACCGTCGTTTCATATTTCAATTTATTTTTGATTTAATTGTGATTTCCGTCCGCGCCCGATATTTCGTTTTAATTCGCAAGCGGCGTCCAAATTCCTTTTATCACCCCGTTGTATAACGGCGCGTTTTTACGCGTGCGAAAAACGCAGAAATTGAATTAGAATTTGCATCCAAAGCTGCAAAATCGCACATGACCGATCACGCCTATCGCGTAATAGCCGATTGTGTGAAAATTGCGAGGGCAAATCGGATTATGTAATGAAAAATTCTTTGCCCCTTCTCGGAGAATCGCTAACGTCGGCTGCGGCTGGGTTTTTAATCCAGAAAGAAGAATGCAGTTCGCGCACACGTCGATTCGATTTGCCTGCTGCATTCGTGGCGACTGCATCGTCACTGATCGATACGCCGATATACGCGTCCAAATACAATCCGCGCTAATTGGCGGTGACGGCTTGCGTAATTTTCCGAAGACGCGCGACACACGGATGTACGTACACGCATAATACACGCACCCGTCGACTGTTCGCGGGAGATCGCGCTAAACGATGAACACAATTGGCTTGTCGGTGACTCGAATCAAGTGGTTTTCGGTGAATCGCTGGTGAATCGATACTTTCGATATGCTGTGCAGCTCGCGATATATGCGATTAGGCCGGAGAGGAAGGCTTTACGAGCGATTGAAGATAGAACGGCGCTCTTCGTTATGTATCGCGAAGAATGCTCGATCATAATTATCCGGATCCGCGGATAGAAATTCGTCGAAGGCGCGAAAATTTTTACGGGGCACGACACGATACGCCAACTCAATTTTTTCCATAACTGACCGAGATTCTTCTGTGGACTTTGAATTTCAATCTCGGCGCGCGCGACGCGACAAGATTCTCCTCTCGGATAAGATAAACTGTGTTAGACACAGACCAGATAAACGATGCGCCACGCATTTCATAATTCCTTCCAGCGAAAAAGCCTTGACA